GCAACTAAAATAAACAAAGAAGAGAACAAAAATAAAAATATTTTTATGTAAAATGGAATTTTTCAAAATGAATATATAATATATAATAGATATATAACTATAGTTGGGCTGTAAAAAGTACAGTGGAAGATCCCATTGTTACACAATTGTTACGTTGTACATTGTCTGGTAATCTAAATACACTTATCAGTGACTGCGCAAATCTTTTATTGTGATTAATCTAACCTGTTACGTCTGTAATTAACCTAATCTGTTACGTCTGTAATTAACCTATTTGTTACGTTTGTAATTAACCTAACCTGTTACGTCTGTAATTAACCTATCTGTTACGTATGTAATTAACCTAACCTGTTACGTCTGTAATTAACTAGGTCAAACTTGTATGGCATGATTAGCTTAACTACGTTTGGATATAACGACACAAAACTTGTAATTAACGACACAAAACTTGTAATCACGTCTATTAAGCTTATCTGTAACCCAGACCCCAAAATACACTCAGTTGGAATTAGACTCCAATTGGATTACATTGTGAGAGTAATTACTTCTTGTTTAGCAAACCTTCTTGAAAGATAGACATAGATTGGGAATTGGTACAGATAGATATGGCACTGCCCCCCCCCCCTGTATACGCCCTTGATATATATGGCTGGCTGAACTGCTGACATTTTTTGATTTTTCCCGTGTTCTTATAATTCCACGGGCAACGCCCTGGCACTTCAGCTCGTAATCTACATTATAATATTCTTTGCTCATATTATGCATATAAATATTTATAATAATGTTCGCTATATCTGGTCAAACGGCTTAACCAAATTGACTGATTTTTTTAGGAAACCCGTGGGTATCCGGAGGGTGACATATCAATTAGGCCGAATTGGGAATTTTTGAAATTACAGGGGCAACGCCGGGCACTTCCTCTATATTTAAAAATCTTAGAATCCGTGGATTTCTCTTGAAAAACCAGAATCCAGTGAATTGTGAAATTGAAAAACTAACCTGACAATTTGTCTTGAAAAATATGAAATGTATGCTGAATAAATGTTCAAGGCTATACTCAACTTTTTAGCTAAAAAAAGAAACAATTTGATTAATAATTAAAATCTTTTTAAAGAGGGATTTAGGCCGTCGTCGCTTCAATCAACCACTTTAAAGAGTTGCATGCCTGATACACAACGGTACCCTTTAAACCTTTGTTCAATTTGAAAATTAAAAAAATAGTTCTTTTTCTATCGTAAAAAGTAAAATCTTTAACTAAACTCGATTTTTAGCTAGAAAAGCAAGGATATCTCATTCATTTTGGACCAGACAAAGGCTTATAAGGTGATGTACAGTTATCAAACCTTAAACTTTTAATCTATTAACATACTTGTCTTTAAAATAGATGGTGTTATTTGGTTTGCAATATGTTATGTGGGATGATAGTTCTCTACCTGTATGCTCAGTTAGCTGTATGTACTGTACACTTACAACTGTTTACTAATATTGATATACTATAGGTTAGACCAGAATCAACTTAAAATAAACAAATATGCAGTGCGCTCTCGTTATTGTTGATGCCATATATACAGTTGGTAAATGATTAGCGTACATAATCACTCTATACACTATAACCTCGTTGCATTAGAACCTTTTAACTGTCTAAAATTAGAAATTGGAATTGATTTTTGTGCACGATGGTGTCGTTCAGAAAAAAAACGAACGAATTGAATCGTTCAGAAAGAAAACTATTTTTACAGCAAAATAACGCACGAACTAGAAAACTATATTTTTTTGTACTGCACAAATTATTTCTCGAACATCAACGAAATCCATTTTTTTGACGATTAAAAAAATCGAACCGTTCACGAACTATCGAAATGAAAATATCCGAACGGGCATTTCTATATCTAAAAGAATTATAATGTGAAGAATAAGGATTTCAGAGGTGTACGCATTTATCGCAGTGCAGTGTGGGTGCTGTCTCTTGGCGGTAAAGTAAACATAAGACAGATGTCACAGCCTAACATGGATCCATCTTTTACATAAAAAATCAATGAAATATTCTGGTTATAGGAAACTATTATGTGAATTATCAGAATTAAATGCTTTCATCCTCCTCTGATACTAGACGAACACTGATGCATCTATTCTTGTTTACAAACACCGCCCATTATAGAGAACTGGTTTCAATATGTACGCAGAGAATAAGCAACAACAATTAACTTTCCTTACCTTATTACCTTGGTTTAGACTATGTGCGTGAAGCTATACTTCTGAAATCGGAAATATTTAGATTTCTTCATATGCTTCGTAGCAAAAGCACAATTTTAGCTTTATTTCGAAACTAAAACCCGTATTGATAATTTCCATGTAATTTATTTTTATTTTTTTTGATAACTTGAGTTTTTAATATGGATTATTTGAATTCAAAGCCAATACGGTCATATATTTCTGTTGTCAATGTTCTGTGTGGTTTTCTGTAAAAACAAATTTTATTCAAATTCTCATTCAATTCTTGAGAAGATTGTTTAATGTTTAATATCAAACTTAAAAACTGTAAAAAAATTTATTTGGCTACAGTGGTGGGCGATTATATCAATACAACGAAGACAACTTTCGATATCATTTTTGATTTATATCTTGCTGTTGAACAGCATGGATACACATAAACACAGAAGTCAAAAGAAAAGCTTCTCTTTGCTTGCATGCAAACTTGTAATTCTAAAAAAGCTTGTTCGTCTTCATTGTATTGATATAATCGCCTACCACTGCATTAAATTAAAATCTATTCCATATTATCAAAACATAATTATCTTTGTATTCACTTTATTGACATTTCTCTGAACATCTATTTTACAGAAAACTGAGATATTCTCATATTATGTTAATTACACGGGCGATATCATATATCTGTTTTCATTAATGTACAGCGGTAATCAGAAAACTCTGGAATAGGAAGACGACTTTTATACTCAAGTTATGACATTAAATAGTATAATAAGTATTTGACACTGAACTTGTGCAGTGTAAACAGACCCTTCTCACTAAATAGTCATTTAAGTGTAGAGTACAACTATTTGCATTGTGAGTTGTAACAACATCGAATACACAAGTATTGCTAAAAAGTCGTCTAACTATTTTAGAGTTTCCTGGTTATCACTGTATAATTTCAAATACAATGCTTGAAATAATTCAAACAGAAAATAAATATTGATGATCTAATGTATAAAAATAGCTTTTAATGAATTAATGTTTAATTGGCTTTATTTTCAAAAAGTTTATATTAATCACTGGTTTAACGACGACAATAATTCCCTAAAATCTTGTTACTTAAAATATAATTTGCTTTAGCAAGCAGTTTTCTATCTTAGGAATTTTCTCAGAAAGCGTTAAAGATGAATTTACATGAAAACTCAAGAAATCCCTTGATCAGTGAAATTAGTGTATTTACGCATCTTCAGGTTAGTGATATTATTATCATTGTTATTAAAGGACAACCCATCATTCAATGAAATAGGGGTCGGCGCTCCTAACCGCCGAAACAACGTATCCACGGGGTTTACACCCTAGGGAGAAGACTTATTATAGGCAATCCGCCCAGGACAGCAAAAAAAGCAAATATTTTGGCACATTTGAATAGGCAAGGGCTCTTAAATGTAAAATATGTCATATTTTACACGATGTTTTCGATATTTTTAGATCCAGATACTAGATTTTCAATGGTTCTTAAGGTTTCAACTGATCAGCGTATATTTTTAACTTTTGGCACATTTGAATTGGTTAGGGCTCTTGAAAATGTAAAATATGTCATATTTGACACAATGTTTTCGATATTTTTAGATCCAGATACTAGATTTTCAATGGTTCTTCAGGTTTCAACTGATCAGCGTATATTTTTAACTTTTGGCACATTTGGATTGGTTAGGGCTCTTGAAAATGTAAAATATGTTATATTTGACACGATGTTTTCGATATTTTTAGATTCAGATACTAGATTTTCAATGGTTCTTTAGGTTTCGACTGATCAGCTTATATTTTTAACTTTTGAATATACTAAGAAGAAAGGAACTAGAGAATTCAAATAACTTTTCCTTAAAAATTAGACCAGAACTGAAAATTGCGAATTTTCTTATTACAATTTTGCAAATTTTATGTTATTCTGTGATTCAATCTTTATAAAATTTTAAATTTCGAGGGAAATAGTTTATATACACATTTTTGCTTTTCTAAACTTTGATTTTGAGAGAAAAAGAAGGGTTCGCGAATTTTTTTTTTTAAGCATTCGAGTACCAAAAAATTTTTTTTCAAAAAATATTTAAAAAACACCATACAAAAGAGTTGCACAAAAAGGTACAATTTTGCACCAGGTGCCGTAAATCACACTTTTTTTGACTCACCCTGTAAAATTTTATTAATTAGTTTCACATGAAAGAAATAAAGGAGAGTCGAATTTTTGAATTGTGAGATCTCAGGATCAAGCAATATTCTTAATCTCCATCTTATGCAGACTTACGGATTCATTTAACTCCTCTCCCATGCTGGTCATACCTTGCAGGGATATCTTAAATCAAGGAAATAAGCAATATTCCATCTTATGCAGACTTACGGATTCATTTAACTCCTCTCCCATGCTGGTCAGTGGTCATACCTTGCAGGGATATCTTACATCAAGGAATTAAGCAATGATCCTCTAATTTAAGTGCCAACATTGAATATCGGGATCACACGTTTAAGATTGACGATAATCCTCACAAAAGTTACAATCTCTGAGACCATATTTTAGTTACATAATTCACTGTGGAAGTTGGGGCTAAGTATTAATAACTAAAGTTCCATATTAATTAATATTTTTAGTACTGGGCGTCACACAGCTGATATTTGTCATAAAGGTCGTCTTTGATACTTGAAATGATTTTATTAATTCTCGGGCTTGGAATTTCTAAAAATGCATTTTTTTTAAAAATTGAAATTCAAACTAAATTCTTAATATCTGCGGTATATTGGCCGACCACATTTTGGAAATGCCAGGACTAGGAGATTTTTCTGATTATTGTTTCAAGATTCATACAAGATTCATACAAGATTCATACAAGATTCATACAAGATTCATACATGATTCATACAAGATTCATACATGATTCATACATGATTCATCCATGATTCATACATGATTCATCCATGATTCATACATGATTCATACATGATTCATACATGATTCATACATGATTCATACATGATTCATACATGATTCATACATGATTCATACATGATGAATCTGATGAAGCTTTTTAATATGAGCTCGCCGATTCGAAGCGTTTTGAAATCCTTTTCCACAGATGTCACAAATATAAGGTTTCAGCCCACTGTGCATATTCAGATGCCCTTCGAGGTTCTTTGCGCTCTCAAACCCCTTCGGACAGATGTTGCATTTGAAAGGCTTCTGGGAGTTATCCACGTGCATGGTTATCATGTGTCTTCTCATGTTGTAACTTGTGTAGAACATTTTGTCACATTGATCACATTTAATTGTCGGAGCTCCGTGTTTAGCCATGTGCAGCTCCAGAGCAACCTTTAATATAAAACTATTTTAAAAGGATTGTTTAAGTAAGACTCCATATCAAAAGTGCTAATTATGATTCATGCAAGTTATCTTTTTACAAATATTCAGGGCAGGGCTACCCCCCAAAAGATGAAAATTTTGTCCATTTGACAGCCCAAATTTTTATTTTGAATAATCTTTTTGTTTGTTTATCTTCTTGTGATTTTTACATTTTTTTAATTTTTTTTATCGATTTGATGGTTATTATATCATTAGAACTGACGAGGGTCAACCCAGACCGAAATATATTTTCAATAAATGTGGAACTAACATCTACTTTTTTACTCTACAGAGGTTTGGTCCATCACCATCACTGAATTTTAGATGAAAATTTCAGTTTCACGACGCTCTGAAAGTTATGAAATGTGACGACTTTTTAAGTGCAAAAAAGAAAAATGCTTGTAAGAAAACTAAAAAATTGCGCACAGTCGTCTCCTAAATGTTTTCATTGGGGGATAACCATGTCTTTCAATCTGCAAAAAAAACTAAGAGTTTCTCTGATTAAAGTTTAAAATGCACCGCTGTTAATGGCAATCTTTAAATAAACTAAATACAACTTAAATAAAGTTATAAAGTACCTAAACCAATTTTTTTTCTTAAAATATGTAGATTTGAATGAATTAAGTTTCTTGAAGAAAATTGTGAGAAGAAAGAATAAATGACTTTTTATTTGTAAATGTTCCTGGTTGTCAAAAACCGTAAGAAAATTTTCAAAAATAAAAATGGCAATTCTTTAGTTTACCTTTCTTTTGCAAATTTTGCTGCAAATATTACAAATAAATTCTCTTGAGTGGACACTCTTCGTGTGATCCGTTAAACCTTTCTTATTCCTAAACAATACAGTCGTCGTCGTATCATATAATGAAGACGACTTTCGAATTCAATTTTTGATTTCTACCAAGTTTTAAAACAGCATGGATACACTTAAACATGTGAAACAATAAGATGTCAATTAACTCCTTCTCTTTGTTTACTTGTAAACTGGTATTTTGATAAAAGCTTGTTAGAAATCCAATCTTAAGTCCTCTTCATTGTATCAATATAAACGCTGACCACTGTAGTAAAACAATAAGAGCTGAAAACTTTAGAATGGTGGATATTGAGATTAATGGTTGATCCTCTCTTTTTCTTAAAATCGAGACTAACCTAATCTTGTACTTGTATCCTGAAAAGTGCATAAAATCCAACCAATCAGAGTCGCGTATATGAAGCCGATAAACTTGAAATTTTGCGCGCCATTTAAGATTAATACACAAAAACAGGAGGGACTTTCTTATTTAAAAAAAACGGTTTTTCATTTTTCTCTACTATATCCAAGAAAGAACGGTTTAAGAAGAAGATCAAAAGTGTGTCCATTGGATATTCAGATTAAGTAATCGGGAATAAGAATATCTCATTCTAAAGTTTTCAGCTAAGTTCAGATAATATGATGCACTTTATTCAATTTCATGATATTTGACACATGGAATAAATATTGCTAAATTAAGATTTGATATTGTTTTAGTCTAGCTTCCATTCTAATATTTATTTTAAGAGTTTATGATATTTGAAAAACCAATACAGATTTACTGGATTTACTACGCAGATAAGCTAGACAGAACCGGATATTTCTTTTTTTTTAAATAGAATATCCACAACACAATATTCACTTGGAAAACCGAGGTTTTAATGTGAATCTCGCAGATTTTCCATATATTTTAAAATAAAACAATCGAAAATTCAAAATTGAAAAATCAAGGTATTTTGTTATGAAAAAGGTAAAAATATTGTTGAATTGAAGGCAACAATTAATAGAGAGCTAAAATTATTACTAGAAAAGAGTGAACGAAGCGCCCTAAATAAAAATATATATAAAACTAAAACTAATTCCAACAAAATCTAAATTATTATTGATGAAGAGTTCTAAGAATGTGAATAGTTGAAATCTGAAAGTAATTTATTTCTAGTTCAATCTCAACTTAAAAAACCACTTCATAAATAATCCTCCTCAATATGTTATCGATGATTTACAAGGTTTTATTTGAGACGAGGGATGGGGGGGGGGGGGAAGGAGGAAACAAGTTTTTGTTGCTGTCTCAAATCTTAAAAAATCTAGCTTAAAATTGATCATGTTTAAATTAGTTAAAAAGTAGAAGAAATTGACTGATTTAAAGGAAATCATAAATAGAGTTTTACATTTAATTAAGATTTCTCAACAAATATAACCTTTTAAACACCCGGAGGGCATAAAAGGAAATGTTGGTAAAAATTATGGTTTAAAGTAAAAAATTTGAATTCCATAAATGAGAGATTAAGAAAAAACTGGTAATTAAACTATTAATTAAACTATCATAAATTACAAATTTAGAGGTTCAATTGATAGAATAATAAATGTGCATGCTTTGTTTAATATGTCCCAAAATCATGAATCGATTAATTTGTCAATTTTTTACAAGACCAATTTTTAAATCTGCCAGAAAGTTGCGGATAAGAATGAATTCTACAGGGCGGACCTCTTTATCTGGCAACAATTTTATCCTTTAATGTTGCTTTTCAAGCCGGATTTTTTTCCCCTGGCACTCCAAAACAAATGTTCCTTGATTTTTTTGTTCAAATGAAAGGATTTTTAAAAATCGTTTAAATTTACATTTTTCAAGGACAAAACCTTATCATTTTAACCACCCGAAACCGTCCCTAGGGTCATATGGTTCCGCTGTTTTGACGTTTATTGGATACAAACAAACGAACAGACAAGTCAAATATACATAGTCAAAATTTAATATTTAACTCAGAAAATGTTTACAATTTTTAAAAATCCAATAATTTGAAAACTTAACTATTAAAACAAAATATAAAAATAAATATATAAAACCTGAAACTATCTCCGCATTCTGAGCAGAGGTGAGACTCAAACAGAGTCTCCCCAGTATTCTCTACTCCAGGATCCACTAAACAGGAGACAGAGGAGTATACTAAACAGGAGACAGCTGTGGAGACAGATATGTATACTAAACAGGAGACTGCAGGTGTGAATACTAAACAGGAGACAAGGGTATGCACTAAGCAGGAGACAGGGGTGTATACTAAACAGGAGACAGGGGTGTATACTAAACAGGAGACAGGGGTGTATACTAAACAGGAGACAGGGGTGTATATTAAACAGGAGACAGGGGTGTTTACTAAACAGGAGACAGGGGTGTATACTAAACAGGAAACAGGGGTGTATACTAAACAGGAGACAGGGGTGTTTACTAAACAGGAGACAGGGGTGTATACTAAACAGGAGACAGGGGTGTATACTAAACAGGAGACAGGGGTGTATACTAAACAGGAGACAGGGGTGTTTACTAAACAGGAGACAGGGGTGTATACTAAACAGGAGACAGGGGTGTATACTAAACAAGGGAGCCGGTTGACAAAATCACCCCTTCTCTTAATTCAAATGATTATTGGACACTGTACAACAATCAATATTCCAAAATGAATTCTCCAAGAAAATATCATAAACGATTTAACTTTTCTGAAATCTTTATCAGACGTAAGATTTTTTATCCGGAATTGTCACCAACTTCGTTTATAGTTTATAAGATAATGATTAGATTTGATCTAGCCCGCTTTGATAGATGAATGCATAGTCAATTTCTTTCACATCTCAATTCTATGCCTTTAAATAAATTCACCATTCATATTGAAAACAAAGTAGATTATAAAATGAGTTGGAAATATGATTACAAGGATGTATATTGTATACAAATCATATCAAAATATATCTTGATAAATATAGAGCATGCTAGTAACTGCTGGTTAAAGATTAAATCTTTAAATAATCACCTTTTCTTTTGATGAATGAGTTACGAATACTAGTTCAAGATAAAAAAGATCGGAAATAAAAATTTGCTATCTTAAATATCCAGTACCCATGGTTACTCAAAATGAATATTACTTTAATAACGACCTCAACATTTTTAAATATGAAGATAGAAAAGGTTGAATTTAGTAAATATATTGGTATAGGTATTTTTTTTGTATATTTAGTTTAGACCATTATTCAAATGAATTTTTTATTTCTCTCCTTTTAAACCAATTGTATACTTGTAAACACTGTTGTACAGTTCAGGATGTACATTGCTTGTAATTCTAGTTACTAGCATGCTCTACATTTATCAAGCCCCAGAACATCATAGATATGATTTGTATTTCACTCATTTGAAATTGCTTACATCCTTGTAATCATATTTCTAACTCATTTTATAATCTACAGTGTTTTCAATATGAAATTGCACACATTGCACATAATAAGGAGTTCAATAAGTCCGACTATTCTCAATCTTTTAGCGCAGACCTTGGCTAGTAGATACCTTTCAAAGTTAATTGAACGAAATGACAAAGAAAAAAAGAACTGGAACTAAGGCTTGAGGGAACCATGAATGTAAGAGAAAGATTTAAACATGAAAATTTTGCACAGATTTCTTTAAAGTCTCATGATTTTTCTCCATGAGTGGTTTTTTAACTTAAAATAATTCCCAGAGATCATAGGTTGGAACTTTTATATGGAGTAATCTTAAACACTTGATCTCGATCTATCTATCTATTATGCGTTCCTAATAACACAAATGCTACCTGGTACCCAACCCTCCCTGCATTCCTCTGTCTCCTTCTGGAGAACGTGGATCACAGAGTTAGCATGACATGATTCTATTATGCCCGAGTGGGAGTAGCCGAAGCCATGAGATCCAAACTACCATGACCTGTATCTACAGACTGAATCTTAAACACTCGATCTCCATATCCAATGTGTGCTTGATCTTTCAATCAAAGTATGACCACCACAAGATATAAAGAGGGATTTTATTAATCTCAATGAGCTGAAGATATCAATACTTGACTCAGAGACCCAAAACACAAAATTTCAGATTTCAGCGGGAAAATAATAATTAATTTTATTTTTACCTCTGTTGTTAGGCTCCAGTCTTCTCTTATTAAGCTTTACAACGATCTTATGTCTCAGCAGCATGTGTTCAACATACGCTAAATAGAATTTATTTATAGACAGGTTAGTTTATATGCGTCATTTAGTATTGTGTCATTTAGTAATGTGTGAGGGCAAGTTATCTATAGATAGGTGAGTGCATAGTCATTTAGAGAAAGGTGAGTGTAAAGTCATTTAGACAAGTATAAAGTATTTATACATAAGCAAGTGTATAGTCATTTAGAGGAAGGCAAGTATTTAGTCATTTAGAAATAGGCAAGTATTTAGTCATTTAGAAATCGACAAGTGTATAGTCATTTAGAGATCGACAAGTGTAGTCACTTAGAGATGGGTGAGTTATTTGGAGTCATTTAGAGATAGGTGAGTGTATTGTAGTCATTTAGAGATATGGGAGTGTATTGGAGTCATTAAGAGATAGGTGAGTGTATTGTAGTCATTTAGAGATATGGGAGTGTATTGGAGTCATTAAGAGATATGGGAGTGTATTGGAGTCATTAAGAGATATGGGAGTGTATTGGAATCATTAAGAGGAGATAGGTGAGTGTATTGTAGATATTAAGAGATAGGCAAGTGTATAGTCATTTAGAGACAGGGGAGTTTATTTGAGTCATTTAGAAATAGGTCAGTTTATAGAGGCCATACAGAATTTATATCAAATATTTAGCAGAATATGAGGGTATTTAAAGATAGGATTATTCATATGTGTCATTCAGTAACAGGTAAGTACATAGGAGTCAGCTTGAGATAGGTAAGTATATATGAGTCATTTAGAGATAGCTCAGTTTTAAGGAGTCATTTAGTAATTGACGAGTGCATACAGTCATCTCTAGATATGTGAGTGAATTGGAGTCATTTAGACTTAAGAGATTGGTGAGTATACAGGAATCATTGTAGATTTTTTTAGAAATTGTCTAAGCCAAACCTGTTCATAAAGATAATGAAAAATTAAGCAATGAAAGAAAAGAGTGTACGTAGCCGAAAAAAACTTGCACAGTACACATTACAGCGTTCACAATTTGTATTATTACAATCTAGTTTTCGATCGGCTTCCTAGAGACAAGGAAGGCAAAATATATTCGAATTTTTTTCATAGCTCAGATTTCTTCATCATTCCAAATAATCAAAACGCTCTGGATATATTTGGAATAAATGAGTTAGCTGGATCATGTTCTATAAAAAACTTCTAAGTGAATCACAATATTTTTTCCAACCTCTGAAACTCGAAAAGGTAAAAAAATTAAATAAAATGATTTAGAAACCTGTTTTTCTTGGAAACTCTTCAAAACAGTTTTCCACTCTACACTTCATGGATTTAGAATGAATCCACATGTGTATCTTTAAATCCTCGTCACAAGTAAACACTTTAGCACACAGGTCACATATATAACTTTTCTCCTCTCCTGTTCAGCAATAGATATTTAAACTATTGTTTTTTTATATATTTTGTAAATTTCTATCCCCAATCAACGTCATAAAAAGGCTGTTTTTTTTTAACTGTTCTGGGAGATTTTTTTTGTCCTTTTTCCAATTTTCTCCTTTTATCCCAGGTGATAGTTAAATTGTCTGGGTTTTTAATCCCAGCTGTAGATTGGAATGGTAATGCTAATAGTATGCTATCTAAAACAGGGTTATAATAAATATATTTTTTAAATGGATATAAGAAATGCTTGTGCTCTGAATAAAATGTTAAATATTTTTTTAATGATCATTTTTTTATATATATATATATATCCCTGGGAACCAGGGAAAAGGTACGTATTGTCCTGTCTATTTTCTTTTCCCTTGGGATAAAAAGCTAGAATTATTGAGACGGAAACCCCTAGAATTCTTTTAGAGGCGGTTTAAGGGATGGGGAGAGGTTGACACAAACTTTGTTCGCGTGCAATATTTAGATCACCCCCCCACCCCTGGAAAGTATCACAATAAGCTAGATTAAACAATTTCATTAGTGTACCAATAAATTAGGAAATTGCAATCTCTCATTTAAATGTCGTCCTTTATACTACTAAGATTATCTACATATAGTAGAGTATTTGTCGAACAATTTATTTAATTAAAAACTAAAATATGGTCAGCATATATATCAATAAAGTGTCGGTTACTAAACTTGAAATAAAATACTATATCAGCACCTCATAATTCATTGATATAAACATCGACCATTCTTTATTATTTTATTTATTAGTTTAACCCAAAACTTCGGGGCCACTAAAAGAATTTATAAAATGTCGTCTTAGTAATTTTTCAATGGGTTTTATACCTGTCATGTACAATACATAACACATTGTCATGTACAATACATAACACATTGTCATGTACAATACATAACACATTGTCATGTACAATACATAACACATTGTCATGTACAATACATATAGTAAATTGTCAAAGTACATTGTCATGTACATAACACATTGTCATGTACAATACATAACACATTGTCATGTACAATACATAACACATTGTCATGTACAATACATAACACATTGTCATGTACAATATATATATAGTACATTGTCATGTACAATACATATAGTAAATTGTCAAAGTACATTGTCATGTACAATACATAACATATTGTCATGTACAATACTTAACACATTGTCATGTACAATACTTAACACATTGTCATGTACAATACATATAGTACATTGTCATGTACAATACATATAGTATATTGTCATGTACAATACATAACACATAGTCATGTACAATACATATAGTACATTGTAATGTACAATACATAACACATAGTCATGTAAAAAACATATAGCACATTGTAACGTACAATACATAACACATAATCATGTACAATACATATAGTACATTGTTATATACAATACATGATACATCGTCATGTACATCACATATAGTGTATTGTCATGTACAATACATTTAGTACATTGTCATGTACAATACATTTAGTACATTGTCATGTACAATAAATTTAGTACATCGTCATGTACAATACATACAGTACATTGTCATGTACAATACATATAGTACATTGTAATGTACAATACATAACACATAGTCATGTACAATACATATAGTACTTTGTAATGTACAATACATAACACATAGTCATGTACAATACATATAGTACATTGTAATATACAATACATAACACATAGTCATGTACAATACATATAGTACATTGTAATGTACAATAATGATACATCGTCATGTACAATACATATAGCATATTGTCATGTACAATACATTTAGTACATTGTCATGTACAATACATTAAGTACATTGTCATGTACAATACATTTAGTACATTGTCATGTACAATACATAACACATAGTCATGTACAATACATATAGTATTCTCTCTCTAAGTATATTTAAAAATAGACTACTAAATTCTCTTTTTGAAAATTATAGGACAATGTGTTATAAACCGAATTGCTATTCATGTAAAACTAATTAGATATGTTTTAATATGCTTTGATATTTGTTGTGTACATGTCTGAAAATTATTCGAATTTATGTATAAACTATTTTGCATATGATAAATTCGCACCCTGATCTCTAATCGTTCTCATTAAATCTATATAATTGAAATATTTTGTTATTGTTACTAACATTAGGTGGAAAAAATAATCAAAACAGCCAAGAGCTATTTTCCACCTAATTGCTTTATACTTGTACTGTTAATATAATCATCAATTTTGTGATTATAAACTCTATCTGAATACAGATACATTTATTTTAGCAATAAACTTTATCTTATCTTATCTTATCTAGTACATTGTAATATACAATACATAACACATAGTCATGTACAATACAAATAGTAGATTGTAATGTACAATAATGATACATCGTCATGTACAATACATATAGCATATTGTCATGTACAATACATTTAGTACATTGTCATGTACAATATATTTAGTACATTGTCATGTACAATACATTTAGTACATCGTCATGTACAATACATATAGTACATTGTCATAAAACGTACATTGTACAATGGACAATGTACATCGTACATTGTACAATGTCTGTTATTAATGATTAAATTCAATATCTATTGATTCCTGATATGTTTGTGGCACGAATAATAGGAACATTTTCACTGTGAAAATTAAAAATGTGTTTCTTCAAAGTCACCATTTGTTGAAACTCTCGTCCACAGAACTCACAAGGAAAAGTACCTGACAGAAAGATATGAGCTGAAGAACAGTAAAAATACATTTATTTAAAATGAGATATATCTTCTAAAAATTGAACCTCCTCCCCTAATTCCTCATTTTTTTAAATATTTACTCTTAATATTCTACAGTAATTTATTCATAAAATAAAGAAAAGAACATTTTGTATACGTCCGAAAAGTTATTTCACATAAACCCAAAAAGAGGGGGGGGGGGGGGTACAAAATGTATATTTAAACGGTGATAAAACATATTTAAGCATCGTAGTCATTTTTACTGTTGATCTTAATTTGTGTTGTACAATATGCGTACATTCATTTCTTGCTTTTTTAAATGTATTATTAAAATCTTTACAAAATTTGGTACGGTAACGGGGGAGGAATAAATATTTTTCAAGAAGATATAAACACACTCCTGGAAAGTTCCCACTGTTAAAAGGTTTATCTGACCTGAATACTCAGTATGTTTGCTTCTCGTGTGTATATTCAGATTCTTTAAAGATTGGAAGGTTTTGTTGCAAATATTACACTCAAATTCCAGCTGGTTAAAACTGTAATATTACACTTAAATTCCAGCTGGTTAAACCTGTAATATGTGCAATGTCCCTTTTAGCAATTAATTGGTAACTTTAAGCCTTTATCCGATCAAGGGTTGATGTGATATTTTTGTTCGATTAACTAATTTTTTTTCTTGCGGATCAAAGCTTTATGAACAATGAAGAAAATTTACAGAATTCAACACAAATTATGGTTTTTAAAAACGCAGAAATACTTATAGAATCGGTTATGGCATTTTTTAAATGCAGGATCACTTAAGTTTTGTCTACAGTCCCTTTAATGTACTGGTTGTTTAATGTTTATTATTTACCTCAGAAACTGTTTATATTCCTCTACGTACTGCAGATTTCCATTGTTGCCAACATGTACAGCCTTCGTTGAACAACATTATGTTCCGTATCAAATGAAGACATTTTTTGTTAAAAATATACAAAATATAAAAAACTTTAAATATTTAATCTGCAAAGACTGTGGAAATTAAAATTTTATAATTTTAACATTAGAAATGTATATTTTAAAAAGTAAAAATGTTCATAATTTTAAAAGAAGAATTACGTTTAAAATTGCAGCTAAATATGGGCTCCGCTTTTTAGTAAGTCTCAACACATCCAACATTTTAACATTTTAACATTTATTGCTTCAAAGAATCTGCGATGTGAGGCGTACTCAAAGAAGGGGGGGGGGGTATGAAGCTCAGCCCGCCCACATGGATCAGAGAAATCTTTGTGTCACGTTTTTGGGCCCAAATCGGTGCGTTGCCCCCTCCCCCCTGGAAAGAAAACAAGTGTAAGCCCCTTCCACACCCCCCATTGACAAAGTCCTGTGTAAGTCTATGAAAGAAAACTTAGAGAATTCAATTTTGAAATACAGCTCTTGTTCTTATGGAGTGAAAAAAAACTTGAATGTTTATAAACAACCAGAAAGAAGCAAAGTGTACTGCAAAATATTTGTTGTTGTTCCTGCCTTGAAATGTTTTCTAAAGGTGTGAACCGGTTCCTGACACAAATGACAACAGTGCTGAACAAGAACATAATATGATAATTTAATAATAAAATAAATATAAAAGTCTACTGTATGAACCAAGTTCAATAATGCGTAGATGAAGCAGGAACCGAGTTTAAACCAGGAAGATTATCTAAATAGTAACTTGGGTTGGAGAATATACTTTAGTCCATCATACCGTCTAGCGGGGTTCCCATACACTTTATATTCGGCAATGTTTTTATTAATTGGAATAAAATATACAATAATAATAGTATCTTTAGTTATGCATTTAGGTACCTTCCCACCTACCAGACTTATGTCAGATAGTCTAGAATCACGACATAGAAATCACAAGTATAACAGAAGAGAAACTTTAAACAAAAATAAATTGTAATTCAGCAAAAAATAAAAAAACACACAAAGAAAAATAATAATAATTTAGGAAAAAGGAAAAAAAATACAAATTAAATTAAATTCTAACATTTTAAAATGAAATGTAGCCAAAGAACTAGATTGTATAAGTTTAACCAATTTGAATATATTCCTTTCTTCAGTTAGAGCATCTTAAAAAATTTCATTTGTGGCTGTTTTCAGTAAAATAACAGAAAATGGGGGAAAAAATTCATTCCCTCACACTTTTCCCCCATTTCCATGTTTACAAAATGAAGACAGAAAATCAGACATTAAATTGTTCAAACAGCCCCTTTGTGTTTAAAATATTAAAACACACAAATTTTGATAAACGAGTCATTGAGATCTTAATTTATTTACTCACCAAGTTCGTAGATTTCTCTTTCCTCCCACTCGAGTATCCTCCTCTTAGAAACTTTGTAAAAAAAAATGTTAAAATTAAAATTTACCAATGACCAACGAACTAAAAAATTGAACCGTGCCGGACCTTCTGTTGCATAATGCTGTAAAAAAGTGTACGTCTGTACTCTGTACTTTTTTGTACAATGCAGTTTAAATCGTATATATGTTAAAAAAATTGTACTGTCAGTGTAAAGTGTATTGTACTTTCGGTAAATTGTATTTAGAATTTAACCTTCTAAAACAAAGTTGAAATTGTACCGTATCTTCGGTACAAAGTAGCATAAATTGTACCGTACCTTACCATCTCACAATTTAGTACAAATTGTACTGTATCAACCCTGTGTTTAATATAGTACACATTGTACTGTACCAACCCTGAATTTAATATAGTACAAATTGTACTGTACCTTCTCCCTTCTCTCATTTAGTTCTTCTTCAGGATGTCTACGCTCCAAATGCCGCCTTAATGTTTCTCGTCTAAACAAAAAAATAACTATTTTAAAAATTTAGTTTTCATAAAAATCAAGGCAACCCTAGTTTTATTTCGATGAGTAAAATTCTCTCAAATGTACGTGATTTTGATGAATATCATACAGGGACACCCAAAAAGGATGACACGTTGAAGACGACTGTACAGTTTTACTTCTTACATTCAGTCTTACACAAAATTAGGAAATATGACAATTAAGAATCGTCGTCATTATAGTAGCATTCTTCGTGGGTCCGTTAACCCAGTATTAAATTACAGAAAATATTACCTTGAAAAAACTTTTGTACAAAAAGCACAAGTTAGCATCTGCACAGAGTGAGCTCTCTTCTTGTGATTCTTCAGGTTGCTTGCAGTGTTAAAACCTTTGTAGCAAATATCACAGGAAAATTCCGCCTTCTCTGAAATAATAATTTTAACTATTGTTTTTGTTAAAGGGAATGCTAGCGTATTTTTAAATTGACCCTCTTTGCAAAGATTGCAATGCCCGGTCAACAACGGTATTATTGAAACATTTATCTGATTAATAATATAGAATATATTGTCGTTTTTGTTGTTTACTTCTAATAATTCCTATATCTTTCACTGCAGCAGAAATGAGCAATTCACTTTTGTAGAGAATCTACAATTTTTTTTTATATTATTAGCATTGATATCTCATACATACAAGATCAGACAAAGCTTTTAAGGGTACTGTTGTTAATCGGGCATTCCCATTTTTGCATGGAGTGTAACTTGAAATTACTCTTACAGCCTTCCGGAGTAAGGGATGACATAAATAAATTATAACAGTTTTAAACCTATAAGAACGACAATACTGATTAAACATAGGTTTAAGGGTGCCATTGTGAATCTGTGCATAGAGATCTACTTGATATTATGCTAAGTCCCTTCAGTTTATTTATTATCGTCATATCAAAAAGAAATAAGAGTTGTAACGATTGTGCATTATTTTTATAAAATTGTTAATTCAAAAGGCGTTGCTGGGAGTGGGACTGCAGTGTTGTGTCTAAATGTTGTTTTAAGTGCCAATATAAATGGAAAAAAGCTTGTTATTCGAAGTTTTTTATTAGTTTATTAAAATTGTATCATTTTTGTATTTTTTCCAAAAAATATCATTTTCCAAGCTTAAATACGACGAATTATTTAATCTTTTATTATAGGTAGATACTTTACTTCTAAAACAAAATGGTATCATTTGTATTATTGCTGAATTACAATTCACAATCAACATTGATTCACTTAATTCTTTCAAGAATAAAAATTCTTTTGAAATAAACATTCATTATTAAAGGATACTTTTATCTATTGAAATAAACATTCATTATTAAACGAAACTTTTATCTATTGAAATAAACATTCATTATTAAAGGAAACTTTTATCTATTGAAATAAACATTCATTATTGAACGATACTTTTATCTATTGAAATTAACATTCATTATTAAAGGATACTTTTATCTATTGAAATAAACATTCATTATTAAACGATACTTTTATCTATTGAAATAAACATTCATTATTAAAGGAAACTTTTATCTTTTGAAATAAACATTCATTATTAAACGATACTTTTATCTATTGAAATAATATTTTTTGTAGATTTTCCTTAAACAGTTATAGAATACAAAAACTTTAATATATTTTTCATTTTTTTTAATATAAAAACTAAATAATTCTTTGATCAATGGATCATACTGATTGATTTCTTTATAGTATATTTCCAAGAAGTAAAACTAAATTAAATTTTATTTTAGTGTTGTCCAAATCTCTATACCACAGGGTTACCCACAAAGATAGAGATTTCAGAGACGACTGTACGAAACATATTTCGTTTGTTTCTAATTCATGGTTTCCTGCATCTGTTAACTTGTTACGTTATTTGTCAAATCAATAAATAAACCATAAATGGGAAGGATTTAAAAAAAACATTGTCTGATAAAGTATGAATTAGATAGCCATTTTCATGTTTATTATTGTTTTTAATTGTGGGTTCTCTACAAAAGTGACTTGCGCGTTTCTTTAGTGCAGGAACGCAGTGATAATTATCTGATTAATGCAGGATGTAATAATTATCAGAATTAAATTCTTTTAAACCTAGAAAAACGACAATATCTTTCACATTATAAGTTATGCATACACAGGGTACTGTTGTGAACCGAACATTGACATCATTGCATGGAGGGTCACTTGAAATTAATTAACACTAGGCTTTTGAGGTGCTTCGAGCACATATTCTATTTCAATTGTAAACATTTGCTCTTTGTATACATTTAAAGATAAAAACAAGACAAAATTTTGCGGATTTTATAAAAATAAAAAAAAATGTCGTGGATTTTCGAAATTTTCAAAAATCAAATATTTTTAAAAATTTGATCATCCCTGTGGTCAAGTGAGGTTCCACGCAAAATTTGGGCCTGATCGGTTCTGCCGTTTTGACGTTTATTGGACACAAACGGACAGACAGACAGACAAACAGACAAGCTAATTCTATAAATAAATTGGAATCATTATATTTTATTAGTTTCATTTCGTCTTTTGTTTATCCGAAGTGCAAGTATAAAATTCGCTGAGCTTTAGACAAACTACAAATTATTTATTGAGATCAGATGATTTGGCAAAGTACAAAAATAAAAATTGTCAAAACTTAAAACCAGCGTTTCGGATCCGGATCCGGTCGGATCCGTATCATTTGGTCGGATCCGGATCCGTATCAGGAAACGTTGATATGGATCCGGGTAGCGCCAAAAATTAACCAAAACCATGGAATAAATAAATCAAAATGGTTCGTAAATGTATTATTTACATGACGAAAATTTTTCAAAATTATCTTTAATAATTTAATGTTTACATTTATATAATAGTAATGACGACATGAATGATGACATAATCAAAAGTTACCTCGGATCCGGATCCGGATCCGTATCAGAGTCAGGATCCGGATCCATCATCACGGATGCGGATCCGCGGATCCGGATCCGCATCAAAATGATACGGATCCGAAACACTGCTTAAAACGATCCTAATTTAATAATGAACTTGCCATGCCTAAATACGGTTTCCAGTTTTTATTGGATTGATTTGGATCCGTAAAGACAATAAGGAACATTTCCCTAAGCTGTTCAGATTGATAAACCATTAAAAACCTTAGAATTGGCATTCATAGCTCTGTGAAACATCTTGGAGGTGGATTCGTTCATAATTCGGTAAAGAAAGGTTTCTCCCTCACTTTCTAAAATTTGTTAATCTTAAATATATATAATACATATAATATATAATATTTTAATATCAATCTTAACAGCTTCAGAAAGGCCTTAACGGATCCAAATGGATCTGGAAATTTTAAAAACTTTAAACCTGAAGGAACACAATCGTTTTCCAATCTTAATGTCTTCTCTTCTAATTCCTCCATATTCTCCTCTTTATTCTCTTCATAGTCAGATCTAAAGTTAATTCTAAGATAGTGTTTAAACATGTTGAAGAGGGAATTTGAATAATTAGAGTGGGAACCAGAGGCCAGAATTTAAAGAATTTGAGCCGCGGCTTAAATATGATTGGTTCCACTTAAAATCGTATTCAATGTTACAAGATTTAAGCCGGCGCTCAATTATAACCGGTTTTTGGAGGATTTAAGACGCGGCTTAATTTCATTAATTCGGACTATGATTAGGAAAAGGTCTGTTAGACTCAGTTTATGATTTTGAATCATCCAAAGAACAAACACGTCAATTGTGCAGTGTAAACAGAACCATTTCACTTAATAAATTGATTTTAAAGCTGCTACAGTAGGGTAAGACTAAAGAAAGCTTATATTCTAGAAGCTAATTTATTGCTTCTAGATATAAAAACTTAATGAATAACGAGGGCATAAAAGAAGAGGAAAATGAGTAGGCTTTCTCTGGTTCCAAGATCCGACACTACTACTACTAATTTGCGGATTTTTAAATCCTCTTCCGGTGATTTTCAACCTCTACAATATGTCGTCTGCAGGAAAATATCTTTTATTTTCTGTCAAAAGTGGTGATTTTACATAAAAATTGTTATGATAATTTGACCCCCAGCCTAAAAATAAATTCATTTAATTTTCCATAATTTAAATTAGCTTTCTCTAATACCCAGGGAATTATAAAGAATTGTTTTCTGACATCAGTTGTTGTTGCTCTGAACCCACCTTATCTCATACCCGTCGCCTGGTCCTGAGGAGAGATCGTCTTCACTTGATGAATCGTCATCATTGAGCGGCAAACCATCTAATCAATCAAATTTAACTAATGTAATTTTTCAACGCAGTTTCAGCACTAAATTGCAAATTATGACATATTTTAAATACAGTCATATTCGTTTATATCAATACAATGAGGACGATTTTCGATGTCAATTTTAATTTCTTCCAAGCTTTTAAACCGAATTGACACAAAAAAACATGAAAACGAAGAGAAGCTGTCAATTAATAGCTTCTTTTTGTTAAATTTTTAACTTGTAAGTTGAAAAAGCTTGTTAAAACCTAAAATCATAATTTAAATATGAAAGTCGTATTTCTAGTATTGATATAAACGCCGATCACTGTGTAGAAATTTCCAAACCTGTTTCCATTTTAATAACTAAAGGTGGATCATCCTGCATCGGAGAATTTGAAGATCTATTAGTTTTGGGGACAATGCAGGTTTTCGAGGTTTCTGGAACAAAAATAATGCATTTTCATCGGTTCATCTTATTATTATCTTTTCACTACGGACTGTTTTTTCTTCTCCCTGCTTTTTCTTTTTCCACATCTCCTCCATTTTACATAACTTTTTTCTTATTTTTTCAATCGAGCTTTAATTAAAATTGCATGTCCGTTTCACAACGGTACCCTTGAAATCTTCTACTCAAACTGAAAATTGATTGAGTTCAATTCTCAGTAAGATTGATTTACTAATGAAAATTATCAGAATTGGAAACTTTTTAGGAAAGAAAAACAACGATATCTTCCTCATTGTTCCTTAAATAAGGGTTTAAAGTATCCTGAGATTAAAATAATCCTTTTCAAATTGAAGTTGACTTAAAACTACGTCTACAGACCCATACATCTCATAAACACAGGAATTTAAAGAAAGGGATGGGTGGGGGCTGGGGGATAAAGAAAGTACTCTTTACCTTGAAAACAAGATGAATTGTCTGCATTGTTAGAATCCAGGGGATTTATCTGTCTCAAGTTTATCTCTAAATCCTAAAACATTTTAAATATTTCTTGCCTTAAACAAATACAAAACAGAAGGTAAAATGTTGGGGGAAAGTGGAGTTAGTTTTGCCTTTTATAAGACATAAGACATAAGATACAATTAGGGTGACTCGTAAAAATTCTCCCAAATAAAGATTTAATTTATTCGAAAAAATAATAGCTTGTTCAACAAACTACAATGTAAGTGGGTACACAATAGCAGTACTATGCACACCACCAACCTCGTTATATAACGCCTAGTTAGTCTATTTGGTTTTAACCTATATTAATATGAAATGGAAAATAAGTCGAGGTATAGAATATTAGAAAGGTTAATTTGAAGTTAAGGTGTAAAATTATAATTATATACTACATATCTACATGTAGTGTCAAGTTAATAGTTAAAAAAAAACGTAATAAACTTCAAAGATCTAAAAACTTTATTAAGTTAAACTTTGCTTTTATTAAACTTAGAAATATCTTTCTTTATCCAAAAAATAAAAATAAAACGATTGTTTAAAGTTAAAAAACGTTCATTTTTGCATCGTTTTTAGATCGTTTTTTGTCCTTTTTGCATTTATCATCAATCAAGGTCAAAATTTGACATAAAGTAAGAAAAGATCATTTTAAGTTTAATAAATCAATAAAACATTTGCTATTTATACGATATACCAAATTTTGACCCTGAAGAAAAGTATTAGTAATGAACCAACTGCACTGTATCCTTATCTTGGTGAAAAGAACGAGAAAAAATCTAGATATCAGGCACGATATGAGACCATTGATCTTATTTATTAATTTAATTCATGTTAATATTAACATACAAATGTTAATGCTAATTGATATTAACATAGAAATTAACATTCAGGTATATTTAATATACTGACAACCATAAACTTTAATGAATTGTTTAATGTTAATGTTAATGTTAATGTTAATGTTAATGTTAATGTTAATGTTAACTTTATATACATTTTTTATGCTGACAATCATAAACTTTTATGAATTGAAAAATCAATGTTAATGTTAATGTAAATGTTAATGTTAATGTTAATGTTAACTTTATATAATGACAAGCATAAACTTTTATTAATTGAAAAGTAAACGTTAAATCTAATGTTAATGCTGATGTTAACTTTATATACTGACAACCATAAACTTTAATGAAATGCTTAAAGTCAATGTTAAAGTTAATGTTAATGTTAATTTTATATAATGACCAGCATAAACTTTTATTAATTGAAAATTCAATGTTAATTTTAATGTTAATGTTAATGTTAATGTTAACTTTATATAATGACAACCATAAACTTTATGAATTGCTTAATGTCAATGTTAATGTTAATGTTAACTTCATATACTGACAACCATAAACTTTAATGAATTGCTTAAAGTCAATGTTAATGTTAATGTTAATGTTAACTTTATATAATGCCAAGCATAAAATTTAAATAATTGTTTAAAGTCAATGCTAATGTTAATGTTAATGTTAATGTTAATGCTAACTTTAAAAACTGACAACCATAAACTTTAATGAATTGCTTAAAGTCAATGTTAATGTTAATGTTAATGTTAATGTTAACTTTATAGGATGACAAGCGTGAAATTTAAATGATAGTTTAAAGTCAATGTTAATGTTAATGTTAATGTTAATGTTAATGTTATCTTTATATAATGACCAGCATAAACTTGTATTATTTGAAAAGTCAATGTTAATGTTAATGTTAACATTATATAATGACAAGCATAAACTTTTATGAATTGTTTGAAGTCAATGTTAATGTTAATGCTAATGTTAATGTTAACATTATATAATGACAAGCATAAACTTTTATGAATTGTTTGAAGTCAATGTTGATGTTAATGTTAATGTTAATGTTAATGTTAATGTTAACTTTATAGAATGACAAGCATAAAATTTAAAGCATAGTTTAAAGTCAATGTTAATGTTAATGTTAATGTTAATGTTAATGTTAATGTTAATGTTAATGTTAATGTTAATGTTAATGTTAATGTTAATGTTAATGTTAATGTTAATGTTAATGTTAATGTTAATGTTAATGTTAATGTTAATGTTAACTTAATGACCAGCATAAACTTTTATTAATTGAAAAGTCAATGTTAATGTTAATGTTAATGTTAATGTTAATGTTAATGTAAACTGTAGATACTGACAACCATAAACTTTATGAATTGCTTAATGTCAATGTTAATGTTAATGTTAATGTTAACTTCATATACTGACAACCATAAACTTTAATGAATTGTTTAAAGTCAATGTTAATGTACAGTACTGTAGAGTACTTTACAGCGCTGTACAGTACGGACAATTTATCGGTTTTTTCACAAAGTAAACGATTTCTGCGACTTTGAATATTCGTAGAAAAAAAATTATGAAATAAAAAAAAAATTTAAAGACATACTTCATAGTTTGCATAACTGATAAAGTAAGACAAAACAATAAATTTTAAAACAGAAAAGATGAAAATAAAATAAAATAAAACAAAATAAAAAAATGGAATTCTTAAAACAGGAAAAACTAAAGAAAGTTTAATTAATTAAATTTAAAATTTAATTAAAAATATTTTAAATTATATTCCCCCGAACGATTTCAAAAGTATACATTTCCATGCATTTCCCTGAAAACTTATATTCACCTTAAAAAGTTTTGGCACTTCGTCAAGTGTGGTTTGTTCAAACACTTTACCATTCAGTAATCTGTTCAGGGGTCAAAGATATTTTTTTAAGTGTAGAAAAAGCAAAAATATTAATAAAAGTTTAAAATTGACAGAGAAAGCTACAAGTGATAAGAACTTAAGAGATGGCTTTACCTTGCACGGAATTATTCTAATAATAATGGATCTGCACTCTGCAGCTTGAATCTAATTTTTCCAAATCAGTGGGGAATGATTTTCATTAAGACTAAATTCAATGTGAAAAAAAGAAATGTAAATTTTTTAAGTTTTCAATAATATGGTTTCTTTAAAGGGAAAATTTACTTGGTTAATTTCTAAACGCTGAAATTCGTTTTTTATCAATAGAAGTTAAATAATAAATTTGGGGATTTTGAAGCCAACATTATTTTAAATTTTTTTGGCGTAATTTAATATATAAAAGCTTAAGAAACCGGCGGGGACTCATAGTTATTTCCACCGTTTACCCGCGTTTGGGCGTAAATTACGATTTTAGCTATTTTCCCATATAATAGTTGACTCACTCAATTTAGAATTTCAAAGCTAAGAATGTTCCCGTGGTTCTCCCGAGTTCACCAGTCAAGATTTAAGGCATATCAGTCAAGGGGTTCCTATGTTATGATCAAACAGATTTGACACATTAAAAACTAGACGTCTAGACTTTGTAAACCAACTTAACCGAGCCTTTGCGCCATTTTCCCAACCAACCACATTCTAAGATCATACATTTCTTAACCCTATCTCCGCTGGGGTACTTGAAAACCAGGATACGCTGGGGGGGGGTCAATTTGACCCCCCCCTCTAAATCCCATGTTTTATGTCCAAATATGACAAATGATACATCATTAGAAAGCTCTTGTGCTCTACTTTTAGAATCTGCAAAAAAATTTGCAAATTTGCGAAAATTGAATTTTTTATCGCAAAATCCAGTTTTATAGTAAAAATGTTTGCAAAAAAAAATTTGTCCAAAAAATGACAAATTATACATTTTTGAAAAGCCCTTGACCATGCCATTTCAAATATGC